GAACACACAGGTAACAGTCACCCTCAGCACTAATAGACACAGCATACATAGCAGCAAGGATAGCATCATAATCAAGATCAAAGATAGCAACCCCCGACTTAAGCAGAATATCCCAGCGAGGGATCTCAGTGGAGCCAGGGAACTGTGTACGCCAGGCGTCAGTCAGGCGGCCGAAGCAGCGTGGTGTGGTGTGCGGGCCGCCGCATGTCTCTCCACTGCGGTTGCCGGTGCGAAGAACGTAGGTGCAGGGACCAGCACCCCAAGACCTCCCATGCCTAGCGTACCAATCACGAAGCTGCTGAGGCAACGGGGTCTCACGGGAGCGCTGCTGCTGCTGGCGCTGGCCACCGCTAGAGCCTCCCCGCTGCCCACCACCGCCCCCGCCACCCCCACCTCCTCCGCTGCCGCCGCCACCTCCACCCCCACTCCCGCTGCCTCCGCCGCCTCCACCTCCACTGCCGCCACCGAAGCCCCCACTCCCGCCACCACTCCCACCTCCACCCCCACCCCCTCCGCCTCCTCCACCGCCACCTCCGCTGCCCCCGCCATCCCCTCCACCCCCCTTGCCCCCCTTGCCCTTGCCGTAGCGGCGCTTCCCACTAGGGGCACACGCAGCGCCGACCGACTCGGTGCCAACGAGGTCGACAGCAGCAGCAGAGGCAACAGAGGGCAAAAGAGGGACGGGGGAGCACCCCTCAAAGAAAGGGGCACGAGGGTCACCACGAGAGGCTCCTACAGCGACTATACACTTCTCAGCTGCAAGGAGGCGCTCCTCGAGGAGGTCAACGGTGAGCGTGGTGGGGCAAAGGGAGAGGAAGTGGTCCCTGACCGAGCAAAGGGAGTCAGGGAGCCGGGTGACGAGGTAGTAGAGAGTGATGTACATAGGGGGGGGGTTCTTGGCGCAGAACTCGGCAGGAAGCGCAGCGCGGTAGCGGGTGTCACTAGTGCGGAGGTGCGTAATGAGGTCAGCGACTGTGGCAAAAGCGGCTAGGTCAGGGAACAGGTACGGCAGCATGAGGCGGCTAAGGGCAGCAGTGGCAGGGGAGGAGTAGCGCGCAACAACAGCAGCGTACAGAGTGCTAGCAGTCTTGTACTGGCTAAAGTGCGCGCGCTCAGCAGACGGCAGGTGACTACGGACAGCAAGACGGGCAGCAGCATCACGCGTGGTCCACTGTGAGCGAACAGTACTGGCAGCATCAGCAGCAGGTGCAGCAGAGGCGCCAGAAGTGAGGTCAAAAAGTGAGACGCCATCCTTGCTATCGCACTGCAGGAACAGCTGCAGATCATCGACCCAGACCTCAAAATCGACCGCTCGGCCCTCAGCATCGAAGGTGAGGACGTTAGGGCTGGCCATAGCAGCAGGAGCAGCAGCAGTGGCCTAGCGGCAGCAGCAGTAGCGCGACTCGGCAGGGCGGCGCGGCTCGGCAGGGCGGCGCGGGCGCAGCAGCGCGCGGGTGCGGCGGTGCGCTTACCAGTGGCGGGAGTGGAGGGCCGGGGCGCGTCGGCAGGGCAAGGGGCCGCGGAGAGGCGGCAGGGCAGGGCCGGGACAGCAGGGCCGGCAGGGTGGCCGCAGGTTCGGCAGCGGCAGCAGGGCCGCTACGGCGGCAGCAGGGGCGACGGCAGCTGCTGCAGGGTAGGTGGCCGCGACAGTGGCGGCGAAGAGCCGAGCAGGGCCGCGAAGGGGGGGGGGGCGTGAAGGGCCGCGAAGGGGCCGCGAAGAGCCGTGAGGGGGGGCCGCGAAGGGCCGCGAAGGGGGGGGCCGCGAAGGGCGGCGAGGGGGCCGCGAAGGGCCGCAAGAGGGGCCGCGAAGGGCCGTGAAGGGACCGCGTAGGGCCGCGAGAGGGGCCGCGAAGGGCCGCGAGAGGGGCCGCGAAGGGCGCGAAGAGGCCGCGAAGGGGCCGTTACAGGGCGCGACGGGCCGCTAAGGGCAGAGCGCGCGACGGGAGGGCAGGTGCACAGGGCGTAGATAAGGCAAGCGCGAAGCGCGCTTCGGGTAGGTAAGAAAAAATTCGTAGTGGTGGGCCCTTAAAAAAAAACGGTCCCACTAGGGAACCCGCTCTATACCATGTGAGAATAATACGAGGAATGAATCAACTAGAAATGAGATGGGTACAAATAGGGAACCCTAGAATTGCTGTACCCCCTATTGTCTAACCCACTACTGCCTAAACAGGCTATAACATATGTTTGACAAGGGAATCCTCCACAAGCTCTCTCTCTCGTACGCTCATCCCCAGCAAGGCGTCGCCGAACGCACCAACCGCACTCTCATGACCAAGGTCCGCGCCCTCCTGCAGCAGAGTGACGTTGACGCGAAGTACTGGCCCTACGCCATGCATCACGCTGTCCGTCTACACAATCTGCTCAGCACCACTGCCAACACCGACAACCTCTCTCCTCACCTCAAGTTCACAGGCACCAAGGGCGACGTCTCCATGCTACGCGTCTGGGGGTGCATGGTGCAGTATCGGCTCGCATCAGCAAACACCGGGAAGTTCGAACGTCGCGCTCGCTGGGGAGTGCATCTCGTCATCAGCTTCGAACACCACGCCTGGAACATCCTCGACCACGACATCTCGCGAATCGTCGTGGCCCGCGACGTCATATTCTACGAAGACCTCACAATCCGCAAGTTCCAGAGTGATCTCCACGCCGACCGCACCAGGGGGGAACACAACGTCGATGACTATGAGCGCCCGCCGCGCAGCTTCGCCACTCCAGAGGATGAAGCAGAAGCAGCACTCGCGGACCAAGACCCTACGGATCCTCTTCCTGGCCCCTGCCCCTGGAGCGATGAAGACGACGACGAAGATAGCGCTCCACTCGACTCCTCGCGCGATTCTCTGCTCAGCCCTACCCCCACAACTCTGACGACGACGTGGTCGAAGTAACTAGCGACCAGCGCCACAGCCCCGGCCTTTCTGGACTTCACATCCTCGGCCTCCACACAGCTGTCTCCCGCCCTCCAAAGGCGGTTGAACCCAAAACCCTACGCCAGGCCCTCACGGGACCCTCGCCAAGGAATGGCGCGCAGCTATGGACGCCGAAGTCGCTGCCCTCGAAGCCCGCAAAACTTGGGTCCTCGCTGACCGCGCAGCGCTGAAGGGGAGACGCGTCCTCTCCGGCAAATGGGTCTTCCGTGTCAAGACCGCAGCCGACGGCACCATCGAACGATTCAAGGCCCGCTGGGTCGTCCGCGGTTTTGATCAACGTCATGGCGTTGATTTTGATCAAACCTTCGCCCCCGGCAGCCGCCACACATCGGTCCGCATTCTCCTCGCCATCGCCGCCGCAAAGCATCTTCCACTCCGTCAGATCGACGTCAAGAATGCTTTCCTCTACGCGCCAGTCGACGCCCTCATCTTCGTCGAGCAGCCTCACACCTACGGCGACGGCGACGACCGCATCTGTCAGCTCAAGAAACCAATCTACGGCATCAAGCAGGCCCCGCGACTCTGGCAGCAGCATCTTCACCAAATCCTCCTCGACATTGGCTTCATCCAGCTTCCTCACGACCCCGGCATGTATCGCCTTCACTTCCGCGGAGATTACATCCTTCTCCCGGCATACGTTGATGATCTTCTCTACACCGGCACCAGCAACGAGCTCCTCGCCCAGTTCGAGAAAAATCTCAGCAACCGCGTCGAAATCACCAGCACCGATCAGGTCACACAGTTTTTGGGCCTCAACATCTCCGACGCTGTTGACGCCATTCACCTCTCCGCGGCCAAGTACGCTGACACCCTATCCGCCAAATTCAACATTCAGCCTGCAAACCTCTCCACCCCATACCGCTCTCCACACGTTCCTGCCAATCCCAACACCACCCCACTCAACCCATCCGGCCATCAATTGTACCAGCAGCAACTCGGCTGCCTCCTCTTCGCTGCAGTGACGTGCAGGCCTGACTTGTCCTACATTTCGAGCCAACTCGCCAAGTATGCCAAGCGGCCTGAAGGGGAGCACATGTTGGATCTGCAGCGCGCCTTGCAATACTTCATCTCCACGCCGCACATTGGACTCACCTACTCCACCCTCACGACTCGCTCATTTAGCCTCGTCGGTTACGTGGACGCAGATCATGCCGCCGACCCTGCAAATCGACGGTCCTGAACCGGCTTCCTCTTTCGCCTCGAACCTACTAGTCCAATTTCCTGGAATTCTCAGAAGCATGAAATGGTGGCACTTTCCTCTGCTGAAGCCGAGTTCATCGCTGCCACATCAGCAGTTCGCGAAGGGCTCTACCTCCAGGAACTGCTCCAGGAGGCGAAAATTGCGACATATGCGAGCTTCAAACTTCACTGTGACAACCAGAGCGCGATCAAAATCGCGAACAAGCCTGGCTTCGTCAACCGCACCAAGCACATCGCACTCCGCTACTTCTTCGTCAAAGACGAAGTTGACAAAGGCAAAGTCATCTTGACTTACTGCCCCACTGGTGACATGGCAGCTGATTTCCTCACTAAGAAACTGCCACGTCAGCAGTACCATCACTGCGGAAACATCTGCAGCATAACCAAGCGCGTCAAGACTTCGCTCCTCCAGGAATGAAGGGGAGTGTTACGATATGGAATTGTTGAATAAACATTCCTGAGTAACGAATCCTTAACGCGAAGATGACTGCAGCGAGGACGAAGACCGAGCGACAAGACAGTTATCGAAGACAGTTTACAAGCACGAAGAATCCGAAGTGCAAAGCACGGGAAAACTTCAAACGGTTACCGAACCGCGCACGGTTACCGAACCGCACAGTTGCAATCCTGCATCTAGGTTAGCCCTAAGGGGAATGTACCCCCTCAGGGTACATGGCTAGCTAGGACCTTTCGTATTCTAGTTTATTCCTATATAAACCCGTGTACCGCATTGTATTAGTCACTTCTGTCAAGATCTATATCTCCTTCTACTGACAGAGTCCGTACTCGACATTACCAAGCAAACCTTCCCCTGCTACACTCCGTGCGATCAACCTGAGACGATCCTATAAGACGGTTCAGATTCTATCAGATCGCAAGCGCCTTATCAAGCAGCTTCTGCTTCTTCCTCGTCTTGGCTCGTCGCTCCGGTGCCCCCTTCTTCCTGTCAGGTGGCGTGTGGGTGTTAGGTGGAGTTCGAACAGTAACTTATCTCAAATGAGATTGCAGATGACTGAGTGTAAATGATAGAGAGCATATCTTATCATTGATATATGTCACCTGTGATTGTTTACAAGTGTGAATGTAGGTTATTTCGAGAGTATGTGGTTAGTGAGAGCACAGGTATTTCAAAACAACTTCTGAGGCGCCTCAAAAGAACTTCAAAACACCTATGTGGGAGGCTCACCGCATGCCGGGCAGCGCGGGTATGCTGCGAGCTGCATCAGCCGACTCCTTGATCACGGTGAACCCCATCGTCTCACTCGTGTCTGTCAGTGGGGGGGGAGGTGGGGAAGGGGGGGAAGGGGAAGTGGAAGGGGAGCACGGGAATTGTGACTTGGGGTGATGCCTTGTGTGGCTGTGGGCATTGCCAGCCGACGCCTTGATCACTGTGAACCCCATCGTCTCACTTGTGCCCGAAGGGAGGGTGGGTGAGGCGGGTGGGGAGGGTTGGAGGGGAGATGTGGAGGGAAAGGGGGGAACAGGAGGCAGGGGAGAGAGAGGAGGGGTGGGTAGAGGGAGGGGAGGGGGGAAGGGGAGTATGTAGAGGGGGGCACGGAGGTGAAGGGGGGTGACTTTCGTTGCCGTTGGCTGCCTGGCTTGTGTGACAGGGGGCGCACATGGCGGGAAAAGGGAACAGGGAGGAGTTCCGGGGGGAAGGGGGAGAGGGAGAGCGTGCGGGGCAAGGGTGGAAACATGGGAGGGAAAGGGGGGGGAGGGGTTGGTTGGGAAGGGCAAGGGTGGCGGAGGTGAAGGGCGGAAGCCTGGTGCGGTGCCCGGGGGAGTGGGGCGGTGGGATGAAGCGTGTGGGTGAAGTGGGGGGAATAAGAAGGCAGGAATCGCGCGAGATGAAGAAGACGAGAGCTGCCATAGCGATTGCAACATTATTTTAGGTACCTTGCGAATAATACGGGGGTGCTTCTAATGAGATTGAAGTGCGAGCAAGGCAGGGAATGCTGAGGCGATGACACGTGTCAACAGCTCAGGCGACGAGCCTAGTCATTGCCCAAGATTCAGGGTTCCCTCCATCCTTCCTGTTAAGCCAAGTCAATGTAATGGCTCCCCTCCCATTACCGTTTCCCACCTCTAATCTTCAACTTACCCATTGCATTGCCGCTAGCGATCGGACCTCCCGCCTCCTGGCCGGATGCAGCGGCGCCTCCCTCGGTGGCTGAAGCGTAGGGAAATCCTGCGGCCACGACGTCCTTAGCGGCTCCCGCGGTGGATGTCACGGCGGATGTCACGGCAGCGTCGCCAATGTCCATGTCGCCAGCCCCGCCCTGGTTCTTAGCCTTCCGCTTCTTCACCATTTTCGCCGGGGGAAAACAATAAATCAAATCTGTCAAACATTATATGTTTACATTGTGTAGGCTATAGTGGGTTTAGCCTTAGGGGGTACAACAAACTTAGGGTTTCCTACTTGTACCCAACTTTCTGCAAGTTCACACACACTTGTTCATTCTAACATGGTATCACGAGCCTAGGTTGCCACCTAGGACCGCTTTCTACTACAGGCCCACTATTCCGCTAGAAGCGCCCTCGTGCGCCCTACCTTACGTGCGCCCTCGTGCGCCTTTCTCTGCTCGTGCGCCCTCGTGCGCCCTTTTTCCTGCTAGTGCGCCCTTGCGCGCCCCGCCCTTCGTTCTGCCTGCGTGCCGTCCTGCAGCCCTCGCGCTGCCTCCTGCTGCCCTAGTACGGCCCTCGAGCCGCCCCTACAGGTCCGTCAGGCCCCCGAGCCGCCTCTGCAGACCCGTCAGGCCCCCGGGCCGCCTCTGCAGGCCCGTCAGGCCCGAGAGCCGCCCCTGCAGACCCGTCAGGGCCGCGCGCAGCCTCTGCCCGACCGCGCGCCGCCCCTACAGGCCCTCGCCGCCCGCCACGTCGCCCTGCCCGCGACGTCGCCACCTGCCCGCGGCGTCGCCACCTGCCCGCGGCGTCGCCACCTGCCCGCCGCGTCGCCCTGCCCACGGCGTCGCCACCTGCCCGCGGCGTCGCCACCTGCACGCGGCGTCGCCACCTGCCCGCGACGTCGCCACCTGCCCGCCGCGTCGCCCTGCCCGCGGCGTCGCCTCTGCCCGCCGCGTCACCCTGCCCGCGGCGTCGCCCCTACCCGCCGTGTCGCTCTGCCCGCCGAGTCGCCCCTGCCCGCGGCGTCGCCACCTGCTCGCCGCGTCGCCCTGCCCGCCGCGTCGCCCTGCCCGCGCGTCGCACCTGCCCACTGCATCGCCCTGACCTACCCCGCGCCTGGAGAAGCCGACTCTGGAGCAGCCGCCTCTACAGCAGCCGCCCCTGGCCCCTGGAACAGCCGCCCCTGCAGCAGCCGCCCCTGGCCACTGGAGCAGCCGCACCTGGAGCAGCCACCCCTGGCCACTGGAGCAGCCGCCACTGCAGGAGCCGCCCCTGGCCCCTGGAGCAGCCGCCCCTACAGCAGCCGCCCCTGGCCACTGGAGCAGCCGCCCCTGGAGCAGCCGCCCCTGGCCACTGGAGCAGCCACCACTGCAGGAGCCGCCCCTGGCCCCTGGAGCAGCCGCCACCGCAGTCGCCTCCGTCGTGCGCCTACCCTCCCACCACTGGTGAGCACTGCCCTGCCCGTGCTGCTACTGCTGTTACTGCTGCTGCTACTGCTTCTACTGTTGCTCCTGGCATGGCCAGATGCAACTCCAGGGCCGTCCGCGTGTGTTCCTCACGCCCCAGCAGCTTCGTGAGTGGTACGCCAGTTGGGGTTGTCGGGGTGGCAGTGGTGGGAGTCGTCCTGGAGTGGGTAGTTCGGGAGTTTCTTGTAGTGGCCCGGTGCAGCAGCAGCGTCGTCTACGCGAGGCTCTTTCGCCCCAGCAGCTTCGTGAGTGGTACGCTCAGAGTAGAGGGTCACTGAGTACTGCTCGCTGCCCGTACGTCATTCGCACAGGTGAACGGACTGGTCAGCCTTGCGGGACACGTGGTCACACAGAGTCCCACTGCTTCGCCCGTCTGGGCGACGCTTGGCGTACAGAGTTTGGCGACGACGCTGAGCTCCCCGACTGGGTGGAGCTGCTTAGGCAGAGGGAAGATATCTATGCTCTTGACTATGATGCTATCCTCATTGCCATGTATGCATTGTCTACTAGTGCTAAGAGTGCCTGTCACCTGTGTGTGCCGCCTGACCCCGGTATCCAGTCTGCTGCTCTAGGTACTGGTGAGGCTGCTGCACTAGGTGCTCGTGTGTCTGTTGCCTCAGGTGCTGGTGAGGCTGCCGCTCTAGGTGCTAGTGTGTCTGTTGCCCCAGGTGTTGGTGAGGCTGCTGCTCTAGGTACTCGTGAGTCTGTGCCCTCTGGTACTGCGTCTACTGAGGCACTGCACACCTTCACACTGGACTCAGGCGCTTCCCGCTGTTTCTTTCGTGACCGCACTTCCCTTGAGCAGCTTGCTCGGCCGGTTGCAGTCTCCCTTGCTGACCCCTCTGGGGGTCCGGTCATTGCGACCTCCTCTACTGTTCTCCCTTGCCCTGCGGTCCCGTCGGGCACACTGTCAGGTCTCTACCTCCCCTCGTTCTCTACGAACTTGGTGGCGGGTAGTGCGCTCCAGGACGGGGGTGTCCACCAGTTCACCCCTGCCTACGAGCGCGTGACACACTGCACGTGTGCTCGGACGGGTCGCCACCTGGCTACCTTCACTCGGTTGCCGGGGTCGGACCTGTACACACCGACCACTGAGTCCCCTCAGGTAGCAGCGTCTGCGTCTGCGTCAGGTCAGCTGTCGGCCCCCTGCTCGTGTCACTCTCTGGCGCACGAGACCGTCCTCTGGCACCACCGCCTTGGTCACCCGTCAGTGCAGCGCCTTCGTGGCATGCACTCCCGGTACCTTGTCTCTGGTCTTCCCAGGGTTCTCCCTCCCCTCCCACCCTCGCCTGCTCCTCCCTGTCTTCCCTGTGTCGAGGGGCGGCAGCGCGCCGCTCCTCACTCCTCCTCGTTTCCCCCGACGACTGCTCCCCTGCAGACGCTCCACATGGACGTGTGGGGCCCAGCCCGCGTTCGTGGACAGGGTCACGAGAGGTACTTCTTGATAGTTGTTGACGACTACTCGCGCTACACCACGGTCTTCCCCTTGCGCACCAAGGGTGAAGTCCCTGATGTTTTGATCCCTTGGATCCGCGCTGCCCGTCTCCAGCTCAGAGAGAGGTTCCACTCGGACTTTCCTGTCCTGCGTCTGCACTCTGACAGAGGTGGGGAGTTTTCCTCCGACCTCTTGAGGGCCTTCTGTCAGGGGGAGGGCATTGAGCAGTCGTTCACGCTTCCGGCCTCTCCACAGCAGAATGGGGTTGCTGAGCGCCGCATTGGCTTGGTCATGGAGGTCGCTCGTACCTCCTTGATCCATGCGGCTGCCCCCCACTTTCTGTGGCCGTTTGCGGTCCGGTACGCTGCACATCAGCTCAACCTCTGGCCCCGTGTCTCCTTGCCGGAGACCTCGCCCACACTGCTGTGGACGGGGAAGGTTGGCGATGCGTCGCGTTTCCGGGTCTGGGGATCTCGAGCTTTTGTCCGCGATACGTCCGCGGACAAGCTCTCCTCCCGCGCTGTTCCTTGTGTCTTCCTTGGCTTTGTCCCGGACGCGTCTAGTTGGCAGTTTTACCACGCCACCTCGCACCGTGTCCTGCCCTCTCAGGACGTCACTTTTGACGAGTCGGTGCCCTACTACCACCTCTTCCCCTACCGCACTGCCCCGCTCCCCCCCCCGCCTCTCTTCCTCGCGCCAGGTGCTGCTGTGGTAGACCCCCTCCCCCCTCAGGGTGCCGCTCCCTCAGGTGTGTCCCAGGTAGACCCGGTTGAGCATGTCGAGGTAGCTGTCGACTCTTGTCCTGCTAGGGGTGTTGAGCCTGAGCGTGCGGAGCCTGGGGGTGCGGAGCCTGGGGGTGCGGAGCCTGGGGTTGCGGAGCCTGCGGGTGCTGAGTCTGGGGGTGCTGAGTCTGGGGGTGCTGAGTCTGGGGGTGCTGAGCCTGAAGGTGCTGCGACTGAGAGTGCTACACCTGGAGGCGCTCTTTCCTCACAGCAGCTGCGTGAGTGGTACTTCAGTACTGCAGCCTCAGGAGAGGTGCTGCTGGAGCTCGTGCTCGTGCTTCCCCTCCTAGGCGGGAGCTGCCCTCTCCCCAGCGGCTTCGAGAGTGGTACGCTCGTCGCTGCAGTCTCCGGAGTGGCGCTACTAGTGTCACGGACCCTGCAGCTGGAGGTGCTGCTGGTGCTGGAGCTGCTGGAGGTGCTGCTGCTGCTGGCGGTGCTGCTGGCGCTGCTGGAGGTGCTGCTGGTGCTGCTGGTGCTGCTGGAGGTGCTGCTGCTGCTGGCGGTGCTGCTGGCGCTGCTGGAGGTGCTGCTGGTGCTGGTGCTGCTGGAGCTGCTGGAGGTGCTGCTGGTACTGGTGCTGCTGGTGCTGGTGCTGCTGGAGCTGCTGGAGGTGCTGCTGGAGCTGCTGGAGGTGCTGCTGGTACTGGTGCTGCTGATGCTAGTGCTGCTGGCGCTGCTGGAGGTGCTGCTGGTGCTGGTGCTGCTGGAGCTACTGGAGGTGCTGCTGGTACTGGTGCTGCTGGTGCTGGTGCTGCTGGAGCTGCTGGAGGTGCTGCTGGAGCTGCTGGAGGTGCTGCTAGTACTGGTGCTGCTGGTGCTAGTACTGCTGGAGCTGCTGGAGGTGCTGCTGGTGCTGGAGCTGCTGGAGGCACTGCTGCTGCTGGCGGTGCTGCTGGAGCTGCTGGAGGTGCTGGAGCTGCTGGGACTGGAGCTGCTGCGGGGGTTGGAGCTAGAGTTGCTGAGCGGCCGCGGCCGTACTACGTTCCGCTCCTTCAGCAGGTTCTTGGTCTCCCGCCCTCTACTGGTCCTACTCCTCCCCTACTGAGTCCACCACCTGTCCAGTCCCAGTCACAGTTGCAGCCTGCCTCTCCGCTGCCTGGTCCTTCTCCTTACACTGCGCTGACGGGTAGTCTTACTGAGCGTCGTGAGCCTGAGTCTCGTCCTCCGTCGCCTGAGTCTAGTGCAGAGTCGCCTGTGTCGCGTCCAGAGTCGCCTGTCCGGGCTGTCCGCGCTGGTCGTCGTGCTCCGCGTCAGCGTCCTCCTCCTGTCCTTGGCACTCACTATGACCCTGCGTCCGTCCACTGCTCCACAGCGCGTCCCTCTGCCGTCTCCTCCTGCGTCCTCTCTTCCTGACGTTGCTGACCCGCCGTCAGACCTTACTCGTGCTGCCAGTCCTACTGTCGCGCGTCTCCTTGCCACTGTTGTCACTGACCCTACCTTTGAGTCCTCTGCTGCGTCTGCTCTAGTCGCTGAGCTTGTTGACTTTGCTGCCGCATGTCGTC